TAAATGAAAATTAACAAAAATATTGCTAATCTCGCTTGTTTTTTCTTTTACACTCAAACCCTTACATCCAGTAAATATTCTATACGTTTTTTATCGTTAAAATACGTTTTACTTTGCTATCTACAACATTGTGTAAAATAAACAATAATATCCATGTAAGTTATTTAGTGATCCCCACTAGTAAGATATTGAATTCCTAGGGACTTTTATACCAAACAATTGACTATATTGCGTCTAAAATATAAATTTTACTATATAACTGTAGAAATAACCCTTTATCTGTTCATTCACTTTTTGGTGTTTTTATGGTTCTTTTCATCTATATCTACAACTGTGTTTCACGGCTATTCCTGTGCATTTTTCAACAGTTATTAAATTGTAAGTAAAATTTTTAAATTGTTATAATATCTTTCACGTCAATGCATCTATTCATTTTTAATAATCTATATTACTTATAAATTTCAAAAAGTTTTTTCATTAATTAAATTTGTTCACTATAATTAAAAAGAAAAAAATATATATATGGTACTTGTTGCATTGAATGATAAAATTACGTTATTGATTACATTTGTTGTGCAAATAAAATTTTCATTCATCTTTTTTAGTAGTAATTTATTTGTTTTTTAACCCTTTCATGTATTTATTTATTTTAAAAATCGATAACCTTATGAAAATTTGCCAAAAAATTAATTTATTATNTCATGTATTTATTTATTTTAAAAATCGATAACCTTATGAAAATTTACCAAAAAATTAATTTATTATATACATTTTTTTTTATTATAATCTAAAATAATTTATTTTATTCAAACCAGTTTTAAAATTTTTTTGTGACACAATTGTAGTCTGCACAACTAATGTATGATTAAAACTAAAGTTATAGTATTTTAAGTAATACAAACACAATTTTTAGGTTAAATATATTCAATAAAACCGTTCCAGAATCTTTTTCAAGTGTATCTGTTTTCGTGTATTTAATCAATAGTAAGTTATTATCTATCACTATTCAGTTCAAAATGTACTTATAAGTTTACAATAATTTTAGTTATTCAAAATGAAATTACCAAAAAGTGTCAATAATATAGAACATCTGGTTGAATATATGGAAAGTACTGGAGTGTTATGCTTTTTAGAAANGGAAAGTACTGGAGTGTTATGCTTTTTAGAAATCGCCGAAAATTTGAAAATTTTTCGAAATCGCACAGCTTTTTACCGAGGAGTAATGAATGATGGTTTTATTATTCGCCATCCGGAAGAATTACGAACCATTTGGAGCTGTGCCGATTTATACAAGAGTGAAATTCGAGCGGGTAAATTAATAATGCTGTTCGGGGAAAAAAATTATTTGAAATTTAATTTTTATAATGTACGTTATCCCGACGGCTCCACGGCATCTATTTGTAGGTCGGGTACATGTTTTGTAGAATTATCGAATATTCAGGAACGTGTAATTGTACAAAAGGTGTTTGAGGAGTTTGTAAAATGAAATGGTGAATAGATTAGTATTTATGTTGTAAAGGTTAAAGAATATTATCTTATGTAAACATGTGTGTGTGTGTGTGTGTGTGTGTGTACTACGCTCCGATACACACTCAACGATTTCTATAGTGTATGATGACGAATAGTTTGTAAACAACTGTATTATTAAAGAAAAAAAAAAACTCAGTTTATAAATGGTTAGATGAGTACACATAGCTGAAGGAGTGCATCGGCTGTATTGTAGCTCAGTGATTTATCTTAAACATAAACAAGTAGAGAGAGGAAAGGGGTAGTATGCTATGAGACAGTACCGATATGAATGTCAAATTAATGGTATCGTGGCAAGCGGATGGAGGTGACGAAAAAAAAAAAAATTCATAGCACTGTTTTCGAGTTATGTGCAAATTTTGGGAAATTTATATTACGCGGTGTTCTCATCCGTGTCATTCTGATGATAGTAGTTATTGTTAAAAATGTATGTATCAGTGTCGAGTTGTACACCATTAATACAACATTCACCCTGTATATATAGTTTACTCACGAATAATTTTGGTGTGTAGAAAATGGAACAATTAAAACAAAAAATGAATAATCAAGCCAAAGGCATGGAGTACATTAAAATGTCTGTCTTGGTTGAGAATCATGCCTATAGAGTTGATTCAATGAAAAATTTGACGACAAGAAACGGTGTTGTGGTGGTGGCATGGTTGCCCGACAACCGACAAGTTTTTGTTCCAAGAATACAGTTGACGGACGATGAAATTAAAACGTACAACGACGGCGACACCAAAATGTCACTTTGTTACAGAGGAAGAACGGGAAATGCTTATTCATTTGATTTTCGATAAAATTTTTTTTTAATGCATTAACTTTTTTTTTATAATCAACAAAATCTGTTTGTATCTAATGATGATTTATGTACAACAATTGAAATAAAATTATATAGTTCGTTCACAATCTATTTGTGTTTGCATTATTACTCCGATAGTATAGAACCTAATAGTAGTTTATGACAAAGGTAAATTATACTTTAGATTAATATTATAAGATTGATAGTTTTTCAAATTGGTGGAAAATGTAAAAACAAAAATCACAATAGCAATACTTTAGAGTAGATTTTAAGAAGAAAAACAAAAACTTATGTATTCAAGTTTTACACACCATTGATAATATAATCTGTTAACAGTCCAGTAATGTTTACTCCAATAGTAAAAGTACATTGAACTGAATAGTTGATTAAAGAGGTGGCCATACACACGTTTAACTAATATATTAATTTTTCAATAGTTGTTATCATGTCGTTTGTATGCGGTTGTGGGTCTTCATTTGTCGATAGTACTGGTTTGAATATTCATTGTAGTATGAATCAGGGTCACCGTCAAACTGTTATTTCAGGGAAACGCTGTTTGTCAGCGCCTGCGGGTAGGGTGACCAAACGCGCGTGCATGCACGTTGCAGGGACCTGTTTTGTTCCTATAGATTCTGCACTACGCCGTCGAGTGATACATTATTTTTTGAAAAATAAAACGTCTATTGACGAAATTGACGATTTTATTCGATACGTGAGTGACGATTTAACCACCGTACTAAATGACGTTACCAAGCACGGTATAATAAAATTCAACGTT